GCTGGACAAAGCAAGTCCTCTGACCAGCTCATGTGATGCAACTAAATAAAATTAGTCTAACTTCTAAAAAGGAAAAATAGTTTGAAAAATTAAGTGATAGTAGAAATCACCAGCTGAAATAGTTGCACAATTTAATACCTCAACATATAACGGTAATGCAACCAACAGGACCTACAAAGACAGTATTGGATCTCTAGCTCCACAGCCACTATTCTAAATGCATGTATCAAAACACCATTCTTGGATCTGCTCTGAAATACTCTCCCAAGTCACCTTAAATCAGCTCCCTAACAGCTGATTCAACCTGGACCAACCTTAGCCAAAGAAAGAAAAACCAGTTCCCTTCATTCCTTTTGGTGCGTGTATCCCCAAAGCTGTATGTAACATTACTATGCCTAATCTCTGTTCTGCTTGTCTTGTACTCATCTTGGAAAACACTCACATGCCTACCAAGCTTCATGTTCATTATAAGGAATGTAGCCTGGGATATCCTACTTTCTTAAAAAGAAAAACCCTATCTCCAACAATATTTAGAAGCACTCAGTTACAAACAACACTGACTTCCACCCAAAAGAGCAAAAGCCAGGATTCCTGCATTTCACTATGGAGATTGATAAGAAAGCTTTGGGGACCGTACTTGACACCACTACTACCTTATCGCCCTGCCCTCCAAGGATTTCAGAGCAATTTTGATGATTATCTACTCTCCACATTTGTAACTTAGTAGAAAATAAAATATATTCCTCATTATAGAACCTGTAAGTAACGAAGTAACAAACTACTCTCAAAGGTAGATACCATTTCTTATACTATAGATTAAACTTTCTTTAACCCCTACCTTCTATGATTTTAACCTCAGTGCTTCTCTTAAAAAAAGACACCTAGCAAATTGTGGATTTTCTTGCAACGTGGGATAATACAGTAATCAAAGAGAAGAGCACTAACTGCACAGAGTAGGGCAGCCAGCACTAACTCTGAAACCTGATCAATAGTAGCACTGTCACAAGAACTAACAAGGTATTTAGCAGTCATCAGCCTTAATAGCCACTGTACTTCAAGCCCTTAAGTCGGGGATATTGCTGCATCTATGACCCTGGTAGAAATAAAGCCTAGCATCTTTACACCACTATCCTAAGCATCTTTCCTTGAAGCTACCTGATGAGTTCTCCTGCCCTGCATACGATTCTGGTCAGAGTACTAGAGATACTTGTACAAAACACAAGGCTTTTTTGTGACCATTTAAGGAATGTGCAGGATATTCGCAGATCAGATTCTTATCCACGTCCTCCAAAATCCAAGACTAAAAAGGGTTAGACTTGTTAGCTACATTTGATTTGCTCCTGGTTGTGCCTACTGCCTACTCATATTACTCATGTGCTATTGTTGTGTCTTCTTTTGCAAAACCTGCAGCCAGAACGAGATTTCTTGTTTGGGTCAAAGTAAGCCCTTTAAAGAGAATGTAAGGCAATGAAAAGTCATGTGCCACATCAAAAGACATTAAAAAGGGCAACTCTGAATTTAAAGCAGAAGAAAAACAACCAAAAAAAAGGCATTTCAAGATAGCCCAAAACAGCTTTGACGAATGCACATGGCTCAGGTTTTTAATCTAATCAAGCTTTTGGTAGGTATCTTAATAGCTAATAAATTCTTCACAAACAGTCCAGAGAAACACAATGTTACAAAACAAACGTAACCAAAGCATTTGCAAGTGACAGGCAACTCTCCTCCCCCATGGCAGAAGCCAAACTATTTTTTTACACCTATTTTTGGGTATTACTACTGTAGGAAGTTCAGAACGAACCAGATCTATAAAACCCAAAAGCTACCACCACATTGTGGCATCAAAAGTTCAAGCTTTAGCTATTGTTCATCTTTCAGCAACATGGGAGATGAACAACAGCCAAATTACATCTCTCTGTCATCAACTTGAACTGAAGTACTGCTGTCAATGGCAGGAAAATTGCTACACTTCAGAGCAAATAAGGACTGAAAAGAAAGTTATGCCATGATGGCAATGCTGTATGCTCAAAATACACTATAAATGCTGCTCTTAAGGCTAAAACCTAAAGCAACAGTTGGATCAAGATGAACATTTAATGTACCTTTCCTGAGCTCTGGAGGAGGCTCCTACAAACTCAGTGTTGAAAAGACAATTCGGGGTTAAACGAAAAAAGGGAGCTACAACACAAAAGCATAAAATTAACATTCGTGCTCAGATAGTCAAGGCAAATTGAAGACACCTCATTTAGTACTTTCATTTTCCACACTTTGGTAAATGCTATTAAAAAAAAAGAAAACCAAAACTCACAGTATAAAGAATATATGCTAAGAAACCCATACATCATGCCACCACTTTTTCACCAGAGTATTGCACAAATCCATGAATTCTGCACAATCTGTCCCCTGGAAGACTAATTACAAAGACAGGCAATAAACCACAAACTTATGACCTTCATGTTTTCAAGGAATCAGTAGTATTTGTCAACAGTGGAATTTAGTGTCATGGTACTTGATGAGATATATTCAGTAAAAAGGCTTAGAAACTCTTTGTTTATAATTAAGAAATAACGATTGAGGGCCAGGGCATTTCCTGGGGATTAATGACCAGGATGGGAGAGCCAATGGCTTGAGGCAATGCCTTGGGCCATTAACCTCAGCCAGTCATTAATTTCCCCAGGAAATGCCCTGGACCTCGATTAGTGTAAGTATCATAAAGGGTAGCAAGAGAAAAAAAAGTTTAGCATTAACAGTCTCCCAAGGAAATCCATTCCACAGCCAGTATTTTTTCATTTTGTCACATCCCAGAACTGCATAAGTTAAAACTGACACAAGAAAAATTGGTGATGAAAATGGAAAAAAAAAAAAAAAGAGAGACACTTTTTTTTTCTATTAAAGATTTAAATGAATGATGTTTGTAGCAAAGGCAAGATTCAGCTACAAAAGCAAGTGGACACCTTGTTTAACTCATGAAATTATGAATGGACATTTCCATATAATTACTGAAAAAACTCACATTGTCTAGTTCTAGTATCCTTGGTGATTGCTCATTTTCTTTCTTGATACACTTATGAAGACAGCAGATGCCTGTGTATCTATTTTAGCTATTTCTCCCTTTCTCCCCACAGCCTGTCTCTCTCAGTTAATGAGAATTACAGCTCCAAATGCTTCCCGTAGGAAGCTCAGCTTTGCAGCAAACACTACGGCAGCTGGATTTCTCCTCGCCTAAGCTTTATGCAAGTGTGAAGGGATTTGTGGGCAAGGGTAGAGATAGAGTTCTTTAGTCTGACAACTGAAAGTACCAAGACACCTCATTTAACACGTTAAAGACACACACGCTCCCTGACCACTGACTGCTCTGCCCAGTTCCCTCTTCCCCTTCCCAGACGAATGTGCAGTGCTCCTCCTAAAAAGCTGAACTGTGCCCAAAGTTTCAAAATTACTTTCAAGATCATTAAAGATCATGGGGAAGAGGAATCTAGGGTTAAATACGGCAAGGAGCATTAGCTTTTACCTGAAATAATGAGCTAGAACAAAAACATTATCTGCACATAATCAAGCCTCTAAGCCATTCGGAGACACCAGATACACACAGCAGGGGATCAAGCTACAGTACTCCACTGAAGTGGTCCAAAAAAAGCCTCGCTGAAAGAAAGGAGAGGTCACAGGTATCTTAAACATAGATGCTTATGCAGGCATTCACTGGGAGCCCTGCCCTCCCCCTCCCCACCCCAATTAGCCTTCAGGCTGGCTGATTAGTTGGCAAACTCTTTGAAAGGGTCAGTCTGTCCAGAACTGGTATTTCCACTCGGGAAACAGCTCAGGCATGTCATATACCTGTGCTTGCCCAGCGCCGCGCTCCCTGGCTGACGGCTGCGATCCCTGTTATTACTTGACACAAGAATGTCAGAGGGGTTTTGTAATCATGTAGGGCAGCCAGCAGTGAAGTTCTTGCCTGAAACGCGGTATTTTATGGGGCACAACGTAACTGCGTATGCTTTACAGATTTAGTTAGAATGGCTTCCAAACTTCAAGCCAATTGCAGAGGTGCAGCGAGTCTTTAATTGAAGTAATTTAGCTCCGGCGCTCAAACACCCGAGAGGAAAGTACTTTTGGAGGGGATGGGGAGCAGGCACCAGCACGTGCTGGCATACAGCAGAGGGGGCTCCGCAAGGCACGCATTAAGGCACAGCCCAACAGCGTTTTCGACAACACCGTTTTACCTTAACGAAACACATCTAATGAATTTGGGCTCATTCCACAGCTAAGCTGCACCTAAACCCGTTTAATTGTGCTCTTACTGTATATTTCGCCACTATGGTAACTAATGCAACTAAAGCCAATTTGCCTTAAAAAAAAAAAAAGGATCAGTGCCAGGAAACAGAGCTATTTTAAATAAACAAATACAAGATGAATGCAATTGCCATATTAACCCTCTTGTTAACTTCTGAAGTTTAAAATTACACCCTCATTACTAGTGTGTAATTGAGTATTCTCCCGGCTGTTTCTTGCATTTGAGGTTATTCAAATAGTTCATTAGCACATCAAGAACACCACACACACTAATGATACCTGATGCCCCTATCTACTATTCTGGCCCGACTTTCCTAAGTCATATCTCCCGCAAAAAGAGAAATAAAAGAGGGGGGAAAAAATAAAAAGGAGGAAAAGAGGAGCCCATAGGGCTGAGCTGTCAGTGCTGCCGCTGAGGGGGAGCATGGCATCACCCAGGCACCATTCAAGTCCAATACCCAGGCACACAGTGAGTGGCCACTGGACCAGTGGCGGGGCATGAAGAGACTGGTGGGACAAGTAAGTTGGATAACTCGCATCCGGGCTCTTTGGGTGCCTGAAGAGTGAGCATGACCCAAGAGCCACCCCAATGCTGGCAGTGTGCCTCAGTGCCCAGCCTCGGGGGAAGAAAGGAGAGGGCCAGTGCAGACTATGTGGGGCAGGGTGAGGGGTTGCCACTTTTTTTTTTTCCTTTTTCTTTTTCCGGTTACCTGTGTGGGGGAAACAATAGCAGGTGAAACTACTGTGGGTGAGGTGGTGCTTCTGTGCCCATTTGCTTCGGGGAGGAGGTGAGGCAAGGGGTCATGTTTCACTGAGACCACCACCACGGCGGGCGCAGCGGCATCCAGGGGCTCAGCGGGGCGGCGGCAGAGTCTTTTTGGGGAGGCAGAGGGCCCACATGCATCGCCGCCGGCCGCAGCCCCTGCAGGGAACACTGCCTCGTAGAGCGCCCGCTTGGCCGGCACCACTGCGGCCGCTTCTGCTTTCACCAGCGCAGCGTCGCCGTCTTTGGGCAGCACGTAGGGGTTGGCAGCGGGTGGCCGCGGCCGAGGTCCACCATTGAGGGCGGCAGGGGTGTAGCAGCCCCCGCCAGCGGGGTGGTGGAGGAGGTGGTGGTGGTGGGGAGGGGGGTGGTGGTGGTGGGGTGGCTGCAGTCCTCCCAGCTTGGTGCCAATGCCAGCGATACTGTTGAGGGTGGCAATGGAGACGGCACCAATGCAGTGGTTGGTGTAGGTCTTGGAGAGCTTGGCCGCCTTGGAGAGCATCTGCATGCGGGTACCCAGGAGGTTCTTCCCGATGGCCTTGTTCTCGTACCAGGTGATGTCACCCTCGCTGCAGTGGTCCCGCGGGCGCTGGAAGAAGGCCTTGCAGAGGGGGTTGCGCTTGGAGAGGTACTTGACAAAGCTGGCATAGGGGCAGAACTCTGTGCCAGTCTCATACATACGAGGCAGGTTCTCCTCGTCGCTGCTCTCTGCCCGCTTCTTGCTCCAGGAGGATGAGCGCGACTTGTGGTAGGGCCCCAGCGCCTTGAAGTAGACGAACTTGCGTCCATCCTCATCCACGGCCAGCCCAAATGAGTCCTCCTCCAGCTCCCGCTGGTTCTCCCGGCCCCGGGTGCAGAAGTACATGCAGGTCTCAAACCAGACCTTGTTGAGGAGCCCGAAGGGGCTCTGGGTGCTGAACACGCTGCACGTGTAGAGCTTGCGGAGGTCGGCGCGGGTGATGGCCTGCTTCTGCACCACCGGCCCGGCGCCCTGCTCCTCCAGCTTGCGGATGACAGCGGCCAGGGTGAGGTTGGCGGCGCGGAGCTCTGGGTCCTTGGTGAGGTCGAGGGTGCGGCAGTAGGGCGGCTCGTTGAGGTAGCGGTTGAGGGAGCTGCGGATGCTGATGAGGGAGGACTTGGAGTAGAGCTGCCCGCTCTTGGAGCGCGCCTCGGCGTAGAAGGAGCGCAGGACCCGGCAGAGCGCCCCCTTGTCCATGGTCTCGAAGTCGGGGCTCTGCGCCTTCTCGCTCAGGTACTCGCGGAAGATGCGCACGGCGTAGCGGGTGGCCAGCCGCGTGTTCTCGCTCAGCCGCGCCCGCTCCGGCCGCTGCAGCAGCAGGGCCGCCTCCAGCTCCGCGTCCTCCGCCGCCCCCCCGGGGCCGCCGCCGCCCCCCGGGGCAGCCGCCGCGGCGCCCCCCGGGGCAGCCCCGACGCCGCTGCTGCCGCCGCCCGGCGTACGGCCCGGGGCGGGCGGCAGCGGCTCCGTCTCCTCCTCGCCGTCCCACTCCAGACCCATCTCCTCTTCCTCCTCCTCCTCGTCCAGCAGCAGCCCCCCATCGGCTCCGTCCTCCTCCTCCTCGTCCCCCGTTATCTGCACCTCCTGGATCTCATCCTCCTCCTCGCCCTCCTCCTCCTCGCCGGCGCTGCAGTAGCGGTGCGGGCGGGGGGCGACGCCGCGGCCGGACGGCCGGTCCCCCGCATTGTTCCCGCCGCCTCCGCCGCGTCCGCCGCCCCCTCCGCCGCCGCCGCTCCACTCGCCGCCGCCGCCGCCGCTGCCAGGCATTCTCGCCATATTGCCGTCTCCCTGCCAGTCCTCGGGCAGGGCGCATGCGCTATATTGGACCGCAGCGCTGGAGCGCTTTTGTGTTTTAATGACCTTCAGCTACCGGGAGGCAAAGCCGGGCTCTTAAAGGGGCCGCGCTCCCACTGGCGGCGGCGGGGAAGGGGCGGGAGAGGTTGGGATGGATGGGGAGGAGGCTGAGTCGCGCTGAGGGGTACCGCGGGGAAGGGAGCGGTACTTACCGCGCCCGCCGCTCACCTCGGGTCCGTCCCGTCGAGCAGCGCTGATGGGCGCCGGGCGCGGGGGGAACCGCCGGGCAGGTGCGCCCCGGCCCGGAGGCTCCCCCGCCACCCGCGGCGTCCGTCCCGCCTCCCCATCCCCGAAAAAGAAAGCATTCCGCGTGTGGAGCGGTTCTTTCGGTAGGGACGGACCGGCCACCGAGCTGCTACGACGCCTCGCACCTCCTCATTCCACAGTAACTTCAATACAGACCAAAAGGAAAAAAAAAAAAAAAAAAAAAAAAAAAAAAAAAGCCCGCAAAGCGAAGAAAAGAAAAACCAAACAAAAACACAAACCAAACCTAAACCCCCCCCACACAAAAGATTCGGGCTGTGCTTGTCCGCAGCACGGCTCAGACCTCGATAGGATGCTGCCGGGAAGCGGGCGGAGGACCCGGCCCCGTTCCCCGCCTGCCGTGCTGCCGCGACATCCCCTGCCGCCGACCTCGCACCTTTAGTCGGGCGCCCGGATTTCGGTCGAGGGGCTCGGGATGAGACGGACGCTCGGGGCATTGCATCCGTGCGGCTCGGAGTCCGCCCGGGAACAGCCAGTTGGCAGCCGCGGCGCTCGCTTGGCTTGCGGGAGCCCCGGCGAGGTTGGCTGCGGAGAGGGAGCAATAAGGACTCGGGGGCTGACGGGCGCTCCGGGCCGCCCTCTTGCTCGCTGGGGCTGCAGACCTTAGGGCAGCCGGAGGGGCCTCGGCCCCCCCGTGCCGCCGCTGCCTCCCATCGCGCCCGCGTTCTTCCTCTGCTACCCTCTTCCGCGACGGAGCAAAACCCGAAGGGACTCCCGCAACCGCGCCGGGGTACGGAGCCGCCGGACCCAACAAGGCCACTTTGCGGGTGTTTTGGCAGAGGGGAGCCCCGGAGCGGCGCAGCGCGGGCGGGGGGCGCGGAGCCCCGGCTCAGCCCTGCCCCCGCCGGCCCGCGCCCCCCGCCCCGTGCGCGCCCGCGGGGCGCTCCGTCCCCCGCCCGGCTCTGCCCCGGGAAGGCGGCTGGCTGCACGCTGCCTGCCTTACCCTTCCTTCCCGGGAAGGGTCCTTGGCCGGGCTGGGCTCGGGCAGGAACGAGGGCATAAGCCTACGGCCGCGCACGGCGGGGAGAGGGAGCCTGTCCCACTCGGGACGGGAGCGGACGAGGTGGATCCCCGCTGGGAGCACCCCCACTCTCCAAACCAAACTACCCCGCAGAACTCCCCGTGCTACTTAGCCGAGCCATTTCTTTTATTCGGTACGATGAAATAAATATTCATTACGACTGCTGGCTACACCTGAAATTGTAGCCCTAATTGCAGAGCTGTTGGCCTGAGTTACCACATTTGCTGCTTACTCATCCGTAAGAATTGCTCAGCGCCGGGCCCCAGCCGTGGTGGTTCGCTTTGGGGGGGCTCGGTGCCCGCGGGCGCGGGGCGGTGCCGAGCTCCGTGGCCGCTCCCCTGGGGCAGAGACCGACGGCCACGGACGGGGCGGCCCGGACAGCCCCAGACCCCGCCGTCCGGGAAAACGTGGGATCCCAAAGAAGGGATGTGCAAATTGTTGAGCAAATTAGGCCAATTCGAAATAAATAAGCACTGCGGGAAGAGAGCCTGCCACTCCCGGGAAATAATTGAAGAGAAATCCGGCACTGTTATATTGATGTAAGCCTGGAGTAATTACGCGGAGGTCAAAGTTGTTGCACGCGCTACAGAAGTTGTGCTCACTCTGTAGTTTGAGAGCGGATTATGTTCCCTCTTAGGTCGATGGCACATATATAAAATTCTGCATTTTTTTTCCTTTGCACATAAGAGCATATAAATAAGGTTTTGGTTTCTTTTTCCTTGTCATACTTTATCTGTAACCTAATCGTGAAACAAAGTCTCAAAGACTGTCCCACGAGATGGACCAAATGCTGAAACAGATAGCTAAAAGAAACAATACCTTGTTGTGTTTAAAAGCTAAATGCCCCAGACAAGCTCCTTTTAGGAGCTATTACAACCCACTCTAGAACACAGAGAACTGCAGGGCTTGCAGCAAAAACTTTTACAATGCAGATTATTTTTCTTTATTGTTCCTGTAAATGCTAAAAATTACATGATCGGCATTGACCTTTGATTCTGTCTTACGATCGTGGAAGCCACTTTTTTTCTAAGACCTTTTCAGAGCCATATGAGTGCAAAAGGTAATTGAATATTTTTTAACTTTAAAAAAAGATGAACACCAGGTTGACAGCTTCTGTACTTGGATGTTCATTTAATCACCATTTTCTGATTACAGGAGGTGAACTATGTTGACAGACTTGCAGATGAATATGCAGCCCAGTATACGAATAGCAAGTATAAAGGACATAAAGAACTTGCAGTGAGGTTGGAGGGGAAAAATGTATACGGAGCTTCCGTATTACACACATCAACTGGAAGCACCTCAGCAGCCAGGGGGGATTTAGAGACTAGCAAGAGAGGTGTTCAGAGTGCTGCAGGTGCCCATAACTGGGAAGACACGTGTAAGTTATACACCTGTATAATCTATATGCATCTAGGTAAGTTAATCAGATACATATACGTTAACTTACCTATCTGTCTACGTTCCTAAAAATAGCATTTAGCCTAGTCAGTTGTATTCCAGAAGTTTAAATCCTATTGTTCAAGCTCTCCAGTTAGATAAGGTAATCAAACTACATTCCAAAACTGACAGAGTTGCACAAGGTTGTCTAATGTGAACTGGCATATAACATTAAACTTACATCCACTCCACCCTCCACGTCACTAATCAGAGGTTTATCCTGCTGAGAGCTCTGTGCTGGCAGAGACAGCATTCTACATTCTCCTCTAGGACTCAAGGTTCGAGGCTGATTATCAAATAGGTCCTGTCCACACTTGGAGAATACATTTTATTACTGCTGTCAGTAAAGAAGATGTGATACCCACAGAACACTAATAATGGACTGGCCTCACTAAGGATTATCCTTAGGAGTACTTGCAGATCAGTTCATATACCACAGAATGAGCATGCCAGTTTAAAAACCAAAACAACCTCCTCCATGAGTCAGTTGGTTTATAATAAAGGTAGTGCTTGTTACCACATTAGCAAATAGTTTCAGGTCTTTCTTCACTTCTTTTTTAAGCTGCTCTTGCCCCTGGCCGCGCTCCTGGCAAGCGGAGAGCTTGCTAGAGCTGTGTTCTTTGACAATCGGCTATTGTGCTGAAGCTTTCCACAGCCCAATTCTCCTTCAGACTAACAAAATCTACTTATCCTGTAGCCTCTGTAAGTGGTTATTTCATTGCAGCCACCTAAACCTTCATGCTTTGGTGAGTCTTGGTAGGTGTTTCATCATGAGGCTTTACGAGGAACTAAACTGGAATACCCCAAAAGCCAACAAGCAAAGAAAAAACAATGCATCTGTTTGCTTCTTAGGATCCTGTCTAGGCATCTAGAAAAAGTTTATTTAAAAAACACTGCTTAAAACAAGCTTGTGGGTTAACCCTAATGCTGGCCACCAGGCATTTTTTAAGGAAAATAACTTCTTCTCCACATACACTTTTACTGTTAGTTTAAATACAAGAAACATTTTCTTTAAATGTTGTAATATGTTTTCTAAACACAAGATGTTTTCACTGTAGGGGCAGGCTATGTGGAAATTGGTATGAGAAATCCATATTGACACTACAGAACTAGAAGGCAAATAACACTTGGGACTCTTGGAAAATTCACTTAGGGAAAAAGCATGTCCTAGAAATCCTTCTCCCACCCAATAACATGCAGTTTTGAGATAAGCTTTTTTAGCACTTCAGAACTGTCACTTCAAATGCTAATTCTGTTTTTCTTTTACTCTTTTATTTTTGTATATGATATTTCTAGTTGTTTCATTACTTCTTCATACTAGGGACAGCTAATGCTGACATGTAGTGTGCTATAACAGATTTTAAATCTCCTTTATTTTAATTTTTCTTTCTTTTTTTTTTTTTTTTTAGCATTTCCCATATGCATGGCAATGAAACAGCTTCACATAACTCAACAAAGGAGACACTGATTTAGTAAAGTGAGGATGTATCCATCAGCGCTAAGTTACAGCTGTTCTTAATGGATTTTAAAATACAAAAGCTATTTCACCTCTTAGATTGTCATATTATGAAATGTTAGTTGTAGTTGCGCATATCAAAGCACCAGCTACCAGCCAAACCTTGTGGAAGGTGAAGGCAGCATCAAGCCAGCCCCTTTTTGAAGCTCCCCGATGCCAATTGAAAGCCTATTTCCCCAGTACGCTCCTATTTTATTTTTTCCCCCCTGCAGGTATTTGCCGTTACCCTCTCACTGCTTTTTTTTTTTAATCGTATTACAAAAGCAATATTTCTGCTACTGAGGCCACAGTTTGTTTCCCGATTGCTTTGTTTTCAAAATAAACCAGAGAAAACCCAAGCCGTTATCTTTGTAAGAATGCATACATTCAGCGCTTGGCAAACTAAAAGGCAAGACTTTGCAAATCACCTTTATTTTCAGTGTCAAGCAGCTGGAGCACTTTTGCTTCCAAAAATATGGAAGAGCCATGTTGTCAGACAGCTTGGAGAGAGGCAGGTAAAACCTTTATGCATTGTGCTGCATAAAGGTTTTAAGGGTCTCTTAAAATGTGCTGGAGGTAAGTTGTCAGGAGGTATATTAATGCTTTTATTTAGCTGTATTTCAGTTTGTGTTTGTCTTTGCTTCTCTGGTGTTGAAGGCACTTGAAACAAATTGGCCGGTCAGTGTGGCACAGTGGTAGCTGGTTAAAGTCGCCCTCGTGGTTGTCTGATCATTTCTATGAACTACTGACACCAAGCAACCTGGTGTGTTAGTGGCACAAAGTTTGCTCTCCATGGAGGCAGAAAGAGCTCTTTCTATCCAGGCTGACAATTGGTTAGTTTTTATTCCTTCTCAACTGAGTCCATACATTCTACGTGCAGGTGAGGGAAATTTAGAAGGATCAAGCCAGTAACTCAAGAAAGGGAGCTCCAAAGAGAAAGATCCCTGTGAAACCAGAAAGCTTGCGGGTATTGTAGATCTAAGTACAAGTTTTTACTTCATACAGTGTTTTAAGCACTATGTAATAGAGCATAACTTTATGCTCTATTGGATATGGAGTTCTTGAAATCCTATTTTGTGATCATAATCCTCAATTAAAAGTTTATTTTGAACCATGAGTTCCGGCTGGAAGTCACACTGGGCTGGATGAAGTCTAGAAATGCAGGGAGGGACAACGGATTATATGATAACAAGGTCTGGCTAAGAAAACTAC